GCGGTAACAGAAACCTTCAGTGGTGGTCTGCCCACGACGCGAACATGTCTGACTTCGGATCCGCCGTGCTCCTGGTCGCATTTCCGAACCCAAACTGTACTGGGAAGACTGCACCCCTAACGATGCAACAAAGCGGGGTGGACACTTCTGACAAAGGATGGTCGGGCGGATACTTCCACGAAGGTGCAGGAGATCCCAGAATCGAATCGACAAGTCGGATCGGCGATCGAAATGAATCGGATCGGCGGAAATCGGCAGCCGAGTTGGAAAAAACCGAATCGGCGGAAATTGGCAGCCCAGGAGGCCTCCATTCAGAAATCGGAGCCACAACCTTCGGAATCCGAAATCGCATCGGATCGGAAGCGGGAAGAACCGAAATCGAATCGAATCGAATCGGAAGAACTGCAACGAGCCCTGTGTGGCGGAACCAGCGACGGCAGGGCAGGGCGGGCGTCGGCGGCAGGGGAGCTCCTCGAAGGGTGGGGTGGGACCATCTGCCTGCGCCTCCCCGCCCTGCACGCACGGCGGAATCCGCAGCCAGGGTCAAGTCGGGCGTGTCCCCCTACTGGGGGATTTTCGACGAAAACTAAAAATATACTCCAAAAATGCTCCAACATGGTCAGAAGATGCTCACAAAATAGGCCCCAGGCTATTTTTGGAATATGCCTCCTGTAGAGGGGCAAGCCCGACTTAAAGCCAGGGCTGGCCCGCGCATCTTGGACGACACCAGGGCGAAGATAAATTCGACCGAGGACCAGTCGAGAATCCCTTCACTCCGCGGCTCTGGAGGATGCATCTCGGCTATACGCAAGAGTGACCCTGGGTAAGAGTGACCTTTGGTGCGCGGTTTTTTGGGGCCGCCGGGGGACCAAATCTGGGCGCGCAGCCAGCTGCTACTGCTTCGTTTTCAGCCATCAGGGGACACATCTGTGCCCGCACCAAAGGTCACTCCTGCGAAAGGTCACTCTTACGTCTAGTCGAGCATCGGGCGCCGCGACCTTCTCAGAGCGCTCCGGACCAGAACTGTCCTCGTCCTGGCCCCGCACGCACGGCCCCTCCCTGGACGCCCCCGACGGTGACCCGACGTCACCGCCTCGATGAAGGAAGCAAAATCGCAATGAAGATTTAAACTTTTGGCGCTTGGAGCGGATTTCTTGCGTCCGCGCCGGACCCCCCTCCCTGGCGCGCGGAGCGCGTCGGGGGCGGCGCTGGAGGCGCCGCCGGGGGGCCGCGCGCGCGGATCCAAGAAATCCGCGCGCAGCGCGGGGAGGAATGACGAGGAGGAGGAGCACGGGGAGGAGGTTCCGATGGTTCCGATGACGACGAGGGGCTCCGAAAACGAGGCACCAAGCCAGAAACGCGATACATCATAAGCGCTAATTACTAAAATCAGCTACGCGAGGTGATAGGAACAGGCTTGTGAAAACCATTTCCTATCTTTTCGCCTGACGGGCCCTTCCCCTGGATAAGGTACTTCCTCTTAAAGTACCTCGGAGAACCCAGGGGAGGTCTACCCTTACAAGGTCTGGCAATCAAAAACGCTCTGCTCACACACCTCGCAGTGCAATCTACACACCAAACCATCGGGCCCGTTTTCCAGAGGCGGTGCGACTCATGAGCCATCTGGACCCCCTTAGGGGGTCCTCCACAGCTCAAGTTCACCAGGTCACACCTACGAGCACGATTCTCTCCGCACCTCGCGCAAGCCCATCGTCCTTTGTACCTACGCACTACGTGGCCATTGTCATCACTCAGAGCGAGGCCGATCGGCCTCTCAACGTACTCCTTCCGTTCCACATCAGCCCATTTTCCTCTCGAACAGCGGCGCAGGATGCGCAGCACAGTTTTCAGCGTCAACGCTGCCGCCTGCTCGCGCATGTGACGAGCACGTTCTTGAGGTAGATCTCGTGGGTGCATGGCCGCACCACACTTGGCATAGAAATCCACTTGCTTGTTGCCGTGCCAGTAGGCCAAGGGAATCTGCTGAGCCAGCGCTTGCGTCTGCGAGAGGTGCGAGGGAATCCACTCGATCTGAATTTCATCAGCACCGACATCATCAACAGCTTTCCAGAACTGAACCCAAAGCTCTGCATACTGGTGTCCAGAATGAGTGCCATAGGGATGTCCAGCTTGCCAACCAATAAAGAGCTCTTTGAAGTCAGTGACGAGGTGCAGCTGGCCCTGCGACTTGTGCAGGATGGCTTGTCGGGCTGCAAACAACTCCGCCGCACCTGAGGTCTGCCATGGAAAGGGAACAGGTCCTGATGCTGCTGCAATGACATTTCCCACCGCGTCGATCATACAAAAGGCCCATCCACCACGAGCTCGAAACTCACAATGTGGAAAGATACAGCTGCCATCCACACAAACAACTCCACTGATCAGGCCAGAAACTGTGCACACATGCCAGCGAATCGTATGGTGAGCAACTGCATCAGGAAGCTGAAACAGGGGATCAGGAAAGAGCCCTTTGCACAGCATCATAGTACACGGATGATCTTGACCATACTCATTGCGGCCCCACAACATGAGCTTCCTCTCGAAACCGCTCCAGTCTTGTCTCTCCGTGAGATGCCAATCACATCTGAAACACCTGTGCAGATCAGTCCCTTCCTCAACCCCACAAATCGCACATAGTGGGCTCTCCGTGGCCTGCACATCACGCAGTCGAACTTGATTGAAGAAACCTCCAGCCAGCCAAGTACGAAGAAGACCAGCTCCTTTGAAGTCTCCTTTCTTCCGAAGGTCGGATATCTCCTTGAGGGCCGGCTCCAAAATGGGCGGTCCAACTAAACCTTCCATCCCACGACTGCCTGGAACACCTGCTAAGAGCCGTCGTTTAGTGGATACATTGACCAGCTTCCTAAGGGTGCCGACGCCGATATCATCTAAATCAACTCGTGATCCGCGCTCAGTGAACCAAACTTTCCAACTCTCAGCTCGCCATCCCATACGACGAAGCGTCATGAGAACTGCTCCAGCAGGTCCCTTGACTGACTGCCAAGTCTTGGTGTGGTTCTGCGCGTGCATGAAGGCTAGGGCCATGGCTTTCGGTCTGACCCACTGCTCCCACTTGGCCTTCATCCAGTACGCGAGCGGGTACTCATCAGCAATGAAGGTTGGATCAGACCGAGGACAATGTGAAAGAAGAAACTCCATGGTTCTGCTCCTTCCCCTTGCTGAGCCAAACTGCGCATGACCAGAGAGGGAGCGTACTTTCTGCAGCTGGGTGTCACTCATGCCTTGCACTTTAGCCGTGTAGCCAACTGACGCCAGACCTCCTGAGCGAAACAGCTTGCCCATCTGTCGCCCTCCTTGCGCCAGCCTGCGAAACCGTGGAACTCTCCGTCCAACTGCTGCCACTCGCCCTCGATGTGTAGGGATTCTGCCCCCTCCACCCATCCGTCGATCATGTCCGAGCTGTCGCACAACTCTAGTTCGCCGAAAGGCCCAGTCACTTAGCGCCATCTCCACTTGCCTGGCCAACTTTGGAGTCGTCGCAATAACATGTCCTTTGTTCGGGCTCAGCTCCAAACCTATCCTGACCAGGAGCCTGCACAACATCTTGGCCGCAGCAATGATGATACGTGCAGCATCGGCCTCAGT